TTTCTTGTTTTTACAAAAATAACAATTACAGACCGTCCGATATTGTAAGACATAAGCCACCAACACCACCATTACGACCTCGTTCACAAAGTCCATCATCAAGTCCACATCTAAGACGATATCGTACTAGGGCACCTTTTCAAGAAGTAAAATTTTTATCGATCTTTATCACTTTCAAGCAATGTTATCTTATCTTATCTTATCTTATGTCATCTTGATTTTTTTTTTCTAAACCATAAAAATTCATTAAAGAATTTTTTTTTAAATTTAATAAAGAATATTTTGATAATTTTTTGAAATTTCCGGATGTTATTTCGATAATTTTATAAATTTGAAATGGTTAATATTTTGGTAATTTTATACGTTTTAAAAAATATTTCCAGACAGCATATCAACGTGAACGTAATCAGATTAATCGTAATGATAACAATGAACATGATTTTGGTGATCTTGATGATAATGAATTCAGCCATTTAAAGAATATAGTAAAAGTGAGTTCATTCATTTTACATTAAAAAAACAAAAAAAAAAAAAAAGAAAAGATGACAATATTTTTCCATCCATGTCTGTTTGTCCACTTTTTTAATCTTTGTTAAATTTCTAACAATCAGAATCAAATATTTTCATTTTATACTCGATAATTAATAGCTTTTATATGAAAATATATATCATTGTTAGATGAATTTTCTTTTTTACGATATTTTAGCAGGCAAATTTTTTTTTTTTTGCTAAATGTTTTCCTATCACACAAATTTGCTAAATAATGTCCAAAATTTTTTCACTTAAAAAAAATTTAAATCAAATTTTACAAAGAAAAAAGGTTTGTTTTCTCACCACTCTTAGAAAAATTATTCTGTTTTCATTCTTATCACCTTTAAAATATTTATTTAAAAATGATTATTATATATCATTATTGCATAGTGCAATATCATCAACAATAACGATATTTATTCAATCAAATGTAAACACAACACATTTTATATCATTTGTCTTTTCATCATTACCAAAAAAATTTTTTTATGATAAGTATAATTTTTTGTG